TTGTTATCAATTTTGCTGCGATTGAATTAATTACGGATGACGCGTCTGAAATGAATTTCAAAGTCATCGTGTCTGCATCTTCGTATCGGTAAAGTGTGTCCGGCGAGTCATAATTATTAATTTATGGCAATTAATTTTTTCCAATAATTAGCAGCCACGATTGATACGTTTTACGGTTAATCGCATGTTCCGAAAGTCACGTTCGATTATTCGAGATATTTTGTTTTCGAAAAGCATCACATGTGTATTTTTGTCGGCGTAGCATCTTTCTCGGTACCCGGCACTTATCGTTTGATAAAGCCTGATCTCGCGTTATCGTGGTACGGAGGACGCTGCTTTGTTCGCGCGAGCCGAGCCTGCTATGTCAGTCAAAACGGATATCATTTGGACGGGTAAAATGAGGAGATCCCTGACACAACTTGCACATTTTACAAGTGCTTGCCGCGTTGATTCGTTCCAAAGAGAGGATATAAGGTGCAACGCATAAGGGCAGAAAATCGGCTTATGAAAAAAAAAAAGTACACGTGGGAGTTGGCCAACCGGATTTCGGTAACTACATTTACGGTGCGTTGTCGCTGTCTACCCTGACTCATTTTTATCCTCCCTTCCGATACTTTTATCGAGACATACATCCACGTGCGGAAAGAAATTTCGCGTGCAAAATAATTGTAATTAATCCTCTGCTTTTATTAAATTTATATTTCGATTAAAATTATATTTAATTAATATTTCGATTAAAATTACATTAAATTGATATTTCGAGATTAAAAAATCTCGCGGATGATAAATATATACGCGATAAAAGCGTAATCTTAACAGGAGCGATTACAATGTTACCGCTACACGTTACATTTCGCGTACTCGTCTTTCCCTATTATCCCGGTAACGAACGGTAACGAACGAGCCTAATGACAGAGCAACGCGTAAAGGGCACAAAAGACATGAGAAAAGGTGGGCCCTCTGCAGCTCGGTCTACCTGTCGAAGTAGCGGCCGGCCCGACAGCGTTTTTTCTCGGCTCTCTCGGCGAGCCGACGCTTCCTCCGACCGTCCTTACGCGATGTCACTGACCCGAGTCCGTATCTCGATGCACAAGAATAAGAAGGAGCGGGAGAAAGAAACGCCGAGTAGAAGGAGAGAAAGAAGGAAGAGGAGGAGGAGGAGGAGGAGGAGGGAGGGAGGTGGCACGAGATTCCATCGTCGTAGTCATCGTTTGTCGTCACCCACGGCTAACCGCCGCCGTCGCCTGGTCGCCTGGCCGACTATACGATCGCGACGACGACGACGGCAACGGCGGTGGTTCCGATTCTCGAGATGGAGAGGAACGCAATAGCGTTACACCGGTACGATGCAACGATATAGCGCGGGGCCGCGGTCGTCAGTCCGTCCAACTCGGCTCGGCGCGGCCGCGACGATCCCGGAGTAGGGAGAGAAGACCTTGAGCCGCGTCACGTGACCCCGAAGGTGCATAGGAGCCGGGTAGGGCGGTCGCGGAGGGCCTTGAACTTACCGCCGACGTTGTCGAAGCCGGCGTCGTAACTATCGCGCGCTCGCCACGCTCGCCTTCTCGAACGGACTACTATATACGAGGGGAAGAGAGATGCCACGCGTGTGCGTGTACATATGCGTGTACATGGGGAGTATATCGCGGTCGCCCCGTCGTCTCTTTTCGCGTGTCCCGCTCTGCGAGAGAAAACGTGAAAGAGTGAGGAGAGGAAAGGTTTTCTCCGTCAGAGGGTCTACACCCTGGAAATGAAGTCTCAGAGATTTCTTTTGTATAAAAAAAAATCAGGGAATTCTCACGGAATTTTATTGCAACTCGGGAATTTTTTTAAAATTCTCTCCTTGATCATTTTCCTTCGTGTTATATAGGTAATCTATCAGTGCGTCAAGTTATGAATTATATATGTTTAAAATATCTACACCCTGGAAATGAATTCTCAGAAATTTTTTTCGTATCAAAAAAAATCAGGGAATTCTCACGGAATTTTATTGCAACTCGGGAATTTTTTTAAAATTCTCTCCTTGATCATTTTCTCTCGTGTTATATAGACTATCAGTACGTCAAGTTATGAATTATATATGTTTGAAATATCTACATCGTGGAAATGAATTCTCAGAGATTTCATCTAAAAAAATTGGAATTTTCGCGGAATTTTATTGCAACTCGGGGGATTTTTTCAAAATTCTCTCTTTGATCATTTTCTCTCATGTTTTATAGACAATTTGTCAGTACGTCAAATTGTGAATTATGTATCTTTAAAACATACGTCTATCACTATTTATCTTAATAAAACTGAATAAATATTTTTTCTTGTACTTTGTAATAAAAAAAATGAAAAAGTTATGCAAATGAAAAATGTTTATCTGACGAAAGCTTCAATTTTTTTCAATAAATTTGCAAATAAATAAAACTAGAAACTTGAATAATTCGTTTTCTCTCTGGATGAAAAATATTAAAAAACGCATGCATAAAACAAACTTATTTTACGAGAGGCCATTGAAAAACTACTCTCTTTAATTTCTCTGAAATTTTGCGCAAAAATTCGCGAGGTGAAAAAATCTCTTGGCAAGATTGGAGCAGACACCCTGTCTGTTGGCGCACCCGGTATGCGACCTGCCTGCACTCGTGGCCGCCGAGGGGCTACCTGCGTGTGTCAGCGGGTGGGCGCGGGTGGGTGCCGCAGGACGACATCCCGAGCGCGGCGAGGAAATCGTAACGTCGCGTCGCGCCGGTCCCCGATATGCTCGACCGCCGTCGCTCCGCTCGGCCTCGCCCGACCTCCTCGTCTCCGCTCTCGTAGCTAACGTTGTTAACGCTCCCCTACGCGCACCGGCACCGTAGCGAACGTTTTGCGTTCTCGAAACTTCGCGATAACTAGTCCAACGTGAGATTCGCGCAGGTCCGACGAGAGTACGGTTATCGCGTTGCAGTCGTTCGCTTCTTTCATGCCGGCGAGATACGTGTGTCCGCGGTGACTCGAGCATGTGACAATGCGTACAAAGTATAATGGAAAATTATAAAACGACACGCTATCTTCCTTACGCACCTTGTATCTTTTGTGCGACGGAAACGAAAGGAGATTATGTAAGAGAGAATCTTGAGAGATTAAAAAAGAAAATTAATGCACACGTCGCGTCGTGAAGGAATATTTTGTGAGGAAGATGATGCGTCATTCTTATTAGAATATTCGCGAGTTATTTTGTCATTTTTCAGAGCTAATGTTTTTTATATGTATGCAAATATTGAGTTCAATAGCTACATCTTTTTTTAATTATTGATAAATTATTAATATCATTTTTTTTAAATTATTAATATTAATTTAATAATATTAATATAAAATTAAATTAATAAATTTATTATCGATTAATAGATTTAAAATAAAATTATTAATATTAATTTTAAATAGATACTCTTAATAGATCTAGAGTTCAAAATTTTGACAAGATGTTAAATTAAAAATATGTTGAGCCAGAACAGAAGATAATTATTTAATTAAATACTCGAAGAAAAATGTCTCGACTTCCAACTTGTCAGATTGTCGTTATTAATAATAAGTAGACGGAATAGAAAACAAAATCGTGCAACAGTGAGAACTAGATTAATTCTTTCGAGGACACATCAACGATTTTCTCGCTAGGCGTTAATCGTTAATACGCGGTTCTCCGCATACGTGAGTCGTAAAATATTTTAATTATCCGCGCATTTACGCTTCATAGCGTGCTAGATGAATGATTTTGCAATACGCTCATAATTTGAAAGGGGACCGATATGTAGCAAACTTGATCTAAATATAATGTTTTCTATTTTAATAATTATATGTATATTTCGCGCGCGCGCGCGCGCGTGTGTGTGTGTGTGTGTGTGTGTATATATATATATATATATATATATATGCTCTCTTGTATATATATATATATATATATATATGCTCTCTTGTTGGTCTCTGTTTTTTTTTTTATGACGAGTCGCTTTTTTCGTATGATATAACCATCTGTCTCATATGATCGGTCGCTAGCATTCGTCCTGCACGCACTACGCACCGTGTGCGGGCGTGAGCGAACGCGCGCGTTTCCGCGCGAAGGTCGTTCGGCGGTTCTGCGAGACCGGAAGTGGGCCGGCCTTGCGGCACGGCCATCGACGTAACCTTGCGAAAGAAAGAGAGAGAGAGAGAGAGACTGTGTGTCAGCGCTCGCGAGATGGCTTCTAATCGCGCGGCTAAAATTTTTCGGCGAATCATTTCGTGCGAGAGAAGATATACTGTTAGCCATTCTAGAGCCGAAGGGGCCAAAATAAGCGTGCTACTTTCTAGCGAAACCGCATCGTATTGCATAAACTGTGGTTTAGAAAGTACATTCTGCGGATTTTGTAATTAGATTTTGAATTGAATTTTCGCTACAATGTTTTTTTTAATTATGTAAATTTTATATTAAAAAAAAACAGACTTGGAAAAACAAATTTGAAGACCGGCAATCAAATATATATATGTGATTTTAATAAAATAAATATTAATAAAATATTGATCAATCGAGCAATCGCGCGAAATATAATGTTTTATTAATTTGACTTACGGCGATTTGATTGGAAATGCGTCCTCGATTAATTCTCTGTATCATTTTCAATATATCAATTGAATATAGAAAATTAATTGAGTGCATCCAAATTAATTAGTGATATTTTCTTTTCATTTTCGTATTGAATTATCCCTAAAATTATTTGTTCAATATATCCAATGTATACACTGAGAAAAACATTATAAACTCTTTTAAATATTTTCAATTACTATTTTTTTAATTGAAATATTTAAGTATTTCAATTAAATAAATGTCATGTTAGATTTAATATGTCGTATTTAATTTAAATACCAAAGTATTTCAATTAAAAAATAATAATTGAAAATATTTAGTCAAGTTTACAACTTTTTTCTCAATATAAGAAAATAGATATTATATATAAAATAATAAAGATACATATTATATACATATAATATTTTTTTTTCAGATATAAAAGAAGCGAAAAAACGATCGATATCGAGATCCTGCCTGTACGTAGCTCCTGATAATTCACAGAGACGACAATAAGAGGCTTCGCCGTAAGGATGCTGTACGGTTTCGCGGAGATCGAGAGGCCGCAAGTCGTATCACGAGCCGCTTGCAGCAGCGTAATCAGCTGAGAATGTCGGAGCAAAACGGGCCCAGCGAGGGCCCAGGACCAGGGCCTGGTTCGGATTCAGGCTGGTGGTCGGCCACACAGACCTGGAAATCATCGTCGTCATCGTCGTCGTCGGCGGTGGCGGCGGCGACCTCATCTTCAACTTCCACTTCAGCAGCAGGTTCTGCGTCCGTTTCGGTTTCCTGCGTCACGTCCAGTTCGTCCCCGACGAGTTCCTCCACCTCGACCAACACATCCGCGACCTGTTGCCCCTTGCCTTGCGTCGGTGTATCGATGAGCCCGAGCCGTTCCACGGAGACGGGGAAAAACGTGTCTGTCACCACTATTAACGTACCGCCCAATCAAGAAATGCACGATGGTAATTACTCTTTGATTCCTTCAATGCGATATCGTCTGGATACGAAATAGATCCATAAAGCGTCAAACTTTTAATCTGTTGCGTAAGATTTTTGATACATTATTATATAATTATAAGAATTATATAATTATTATATAATTATAAGAAGAAGTAATTCGTGAATTTTAATAGCAATATGTTTTGCTTGATACTTAGGTAAAGGAGTGTGTAAATATCTCGGAGGACAGAACGGTGTGACGGTGTCGGTGGTATCGACCTCGATGCTGGGATGCGGAAACACCGTCCCGACGAGTGGAATCTGCGCGAATACGGGTCCGCATAGTATCGGAATCGGCGGTATCCTCGCCGCGAACGCGGCCGACATCGACGATCCCGAAGACAGCGATGGTGAAATCAGCAAGATTGACTTTAGAGGCGTCAATCTGCGCTCGAAGAAGAAACGCGACGTGTCGGGTAATCAGAACGGTGACAAGATCGGCGACGGGGATGCGAATGGCGATGGCGCGGGATGCTGCGATAATTCGCAACAGCAGCCCGAGAGGCCGATGTCGTGGGAGGGAGAACTGTCGGACCAAGAAATGTCTTCCAATACAATTACTAATCAGGTTGGATTTGTCGGATATGATATTCTGAAGTCATCGACAAAGAGATTTCGTGGACACTTGAGGGACATTTTGACATGTTTGCCAAAATTTCTGCGGAAGAAATAGAATTATTTTCTCGCAAAAACGATGAAGTCATTGCCCAGACGTGTAATAAAGATATAATGTCTAACATGTATATTAAAATAATTTTTATTTTACGATATATATGAAATGCCTAATATAAAGATTAAACTCTGAATATAAGCGAATATTTTGGCTTTAATTATACAAGATGAAGTTATTAAAGATATATAAAATTAAAGTATACAAGTTTTAATAATGAAATTAATTATTAGGACCATAACGAGGAAACCTCCATGGAGGGAGTTCAAGTGTGCAGTACGAGTCCTGGACCCATGGAACAGAAATTTCCGATTAAGTCAGAGCCAGATTTTCGATCCAGTCCGGCTTTCACAATAGGATCCTTTCACGACGCTGGACTACCTATGACACACAACCAACAACTACAACAGCAGCAACAGCAACAACGCGGTATCGAAAATCTCGAGCAGACACAACAGAGCGATTTACCGCTTCTCGTGGGCAAGCTTTTAGGTGGATACAATAATTCCACGCCTAATCATAGCCCTATTCTCAATCCACGACATCATCTAACCAAGCACAGTCATACTAGATCACAGGTGAGCTAACAGAGAACATAACATCATATTAACATCAGCCTGTCGCATCATAGTATTTGATTATACATAGACATTTTTCATCTCTTGTAGGTACCGTCACCAGATTCCGCCGTTCATTCCGCATACAGCGTCTTCAGTTCACCGACACAAAGTCCTCACGCGGCGCGGCACTCCGCTCTAGGTGCGGGCAGCCCGATACCGTCCTCGTCATTATCCCTCTCTCGACACAGCTTCAACAATTCGACCTCCTCGCTATCCCTATCGCTGTCACATTCGCTGTCAAGGAATAACTCGGACGCTTCCAGTAGTTGTTATAGTTATGGCTCGCTTAGTCCGCCTACACATTCACCCGTCCAGCAGCCGAGACATTCGCATTCGCACTCGCAACATCATCAGCATCAAGTGGCGCAAGGTAGCCCGTTGCATCTTCCAACAGCCTCGTCTGCTGTCGCCGCGCATCATTATTCATCCTCTTCAGTGCCAGGCTCGGAACTGTCACCGGACGGCCACGCGGTCGTAGAGGATCAGGAAGACTGTAGAATACCTTCAGCGCCGTCAGGTATTTCCACCAGACAGCAACTGATAAATAGTCCCTGTCCGATTTGCGGTGACAAGATAAGCGGATTTCATTACGGTATCTTCTCCTGTGAGTCGTGCAAGGGATTCTTCAAGCGTACCGTCCAGAATCGCAAGAACTATGTGTGCCTTAGAGGCGCAGCTTGTCCGGTCACCGTGGCCACGAGGAAAAAATGCCCGGCCTGCCGCTTCGACAAGTGCCTCAACATGGGTATGAAGCTCGAGGCGATCAGGGAGGATCGTACCAGAGGTGGTAGAAGTACGTATCAGTGCACCTATACTCTACCGGCGAATCTTGTCGGCAGTCCCGCCGGCGGTATGGCCGGCAGCGAAAAACTGACGGCAGCGGGCAATTGCAGCCCGGCACCGGCCGGAAGCGAGCACCATTACTCGGTCAGATATCACTCGAATCATTCGCATAAAATGCAAGTGCCGCAACTCTTGCAAGATATCATGGATGTGGAGCATCTTTGGCATTATAACGATAATGATCGAGTAAGCGGGGGAATGTCCGGGAATGTGAGAAACATCTCTGTTAGCGGTGACAATAATATGCAATGTGGATTCGGAAGTGGCCCATCGGCACCCGGCGGAACTGCGAGTGTTATTGGCACCGGAAATAACGGAGGCGCGGTGGAATGTTCGTCGAACGATTCGAGCAATGTCGATACTAACAACAGAAGAGGAGAGTCGGGTAGTCCCGCCGGCTCGGCTTCCACAAGGGCGCCCGATGAACATTCCACGAACGGCAATACCGTGAATAATGGCAATTCTCAAATCGCCAGTAATTCCAATAATGGCAATCCGACGCAACATCCGGATTTTCTGTCTAACTTGTGCAACATCGCAGACCACCGGCTCTATAAAATTGTCAAATGGTGCAAGAGTCTGCCGTTATTCAAGAATATCTCGATCGACGACCAAATTTGTTTATTGATCAACTCTTGGTGCGAATTACTACTCTTCTCCTGCTGTTTTCGTAGCATGAATAGTCCCGGTGAGATCAGAGTGTCTCTTGGCAAGTCGATCACTCTGGCACAAGCTAAAGAACTTGGTTTAGCGAATTGCATCGAAAGAATGCTTGCTTTTACCAATAATCTGCGAAGGCTAAGAGTAGATCAATACGAATATGTTGCAATGAAGGTAATTATTTTTCCTCTCATTATTAAAGATCCTCATTCTCATTGCACACATTTAATACTTGACACAACTGTCTACCATTTATTTCTTTATATTGAATATTATTCTTATATTAAATACATTTTTAAAAACTCAAATAGTTGCACTAGATATGTTAAATGAGGATGGAAATATAATTAATTCTTTATCTTAATTTTTTATCTATTAAAATCGATATTTTATTTTATCTTTTTATCTTTTCAAAAATAAACAGGTGATCGTACTGTTAACGTCCGACATAAGCGAATTAAAGGAACCTGAAAAAGTCAGAGCTTCTCAGGAAAAAGCCCTTCACGCATTGCAGCAATACACAATTGCGAAATATCCAGAAATGCCTGCCAAATTCGGTGAACTATTATTGAGAATTCCAGATTTACAAAGAACATGTCAAGCAGGAAAAGAACTACTCAGTGCAAAACGCGCCGAGGGAGAAGGCAGCTCCTTTAATCTTTTAATGGAATTGTTAAGAGGAGATCACTGAATTATCAACGCAGTATAAACCAAGCCGTAAGTTTAATAATAAGCAAAATAAAATATATAAATCATGAAGATGTGTGATGAAGTTTCCTTAATCAGTCGTATGCATTTATAGAATAGTATAATTGAATTTTTCTTTTTTCAGATTCCACGCTTATAGGGTCCATAAGCTTAGGGAATCGGATATAATAGGTATTCGCAAAGTGTAAGAAAGATTAAAGAAATGAAAAAACGGCAGATGTAAGATCTATAGTGACATTAGTACTTGGTGAGGGGATTGCATTCTTCGTAATTAGGTCGCATTAATCTAATAAAAATGAGAGGAACTTTCTATTTTACACCGAAATGCTTCCATACAGATCGCGCGTGTTCGTGTTCTTCTATCGAAACAAATGAATTTCAAAGCGGCCTACGGTACACTGGATATTCAGTGCACATGTAGATGCTAATGAGACTGAAAGTATAATTGATACGGAGACACGCAGAGCATTTACTTTTACAATGATAAGCGTTGTATAAATATGTGAGATGGTATCAAATGGCATTAAAATGCTAAATTCTATTAGAGATGGGTGTAACCTATTCGAGTGCAAACTCTTTATAATAGGAAATGCGCAATCTATAAACAAAGTTGACCTCTGTAATTAACGGTTATAATAGAACAGAACACCAGTATTGCGTATTGTTCTGCGCTTACTTAAGAACAGAGCATAGCCATGCCTTATATATCCCAGTTATGAAAGTGTACTTAAAAAACTCAACACATCAGTCGACCAATTATCTACTTATAGAGCAATTAATCATGGAACAATTAGTTAATATGTTTAGTATATGTATATGTGTATGTATGTAGATATATATATATATATATTTACATATACACATATGTATACATACATATATATCATCCATAGAATACGTGGATTTTTATCGATCACACAAAATACATTTTTTATTCTCTTTATATATTTTAACAGCTAAAAGAAAAACAAAACTAATTGTGGTATAAATATCAGAGAAATTTGCGAGAGATGATATCAAGCCCGAATACATATAACTGCTTTTCTGTAATTGTCTTTTTTTTATTTTTTTATTTAAACAAAATTTTTTTTTAAGAATTGGCAAATATTATTTTACTGTTTTATTTGTGTACAAAAAAATTTTATTTTCATTAAATATTATCAAAGAAAGAAAATAACAAATCACAGATTAGAAGTTATATATGTCTTTATGTCTATATATATATTTATATTGTATATTGTTTTTTTACACATAATTACATATAATGTAATTTTTAAAAAAGATTAACTTCTTTCAATATATGGACAAATTTTTATTAAAAATTTACCCAATTTTGTATACAGTGAAAAAGGACGTTTATTATGATTGCAAAAAATAAAATTTTTCAAAAACTAATATATTTACCAATCATATAAAATATTATTTTATTGTTATGAGATAATATTCTCAAATATATGATACAGGCTATCAATCAATATTGATATTTGAGAAAGTATGATTTAAAATTTATATATACACTGGTTGTATATATATACATATATGTATACAACAAATTTACATATATACATATATATGTATAAATAAATTAAAAGGATGGACCATCAATAAATTTATTTTTACTTATTCGTAAATTTTTCTAAATCTATATTTTTTAGCATATAATGATTTTTAAATTTAAGTTTAAACATACGTGACATAAGATATTTACGCTGTAATAGGAAAAAATATGGTACGTTGATTATAAACACTAGCACAATATTCTTTTATTAAATATTTTTTAATAAATGTTCATTTTGAAAGAAAAGTATTAAATAATACTATAAATGTTACTTGGAAAGATGCAGCTATAAGCTTGCATGCGAAACAAACAAATTGATCTCTGTTGTTGGTATTTTAACGAGACTGTCTCATATATGTATATCTATACATATTGCACATTGTTGTTTTTCTTTTTCTTTTTCTTTTTTTACAGTTGCTTAACCTTTTTATTTGTTGTCAATGTTCTATGAAAAACACGAGGAGCATCCCTTAAAGCACTTAAAAATACTATTGATTTGCGCAATACTTAATGTAAAGATAATTTTACATAAGAACCGTCTTCCTCTTTCCCCCTCTTCACATTTCTTTTAATAGAAAGTGACTATTACCTCCTTTCGTGTATATGCGCACACATATCATCCGTGTAACATCACTGATCAATCTTCTTTTCAATTCAAAGTTCATTGTATAAACATTTATGACATTACTCATAATAATTTGTACATCTCATCAGAGATACACACACACATACATACAACACTAGCGATAATAAAAACAAAAAAATATTAATCAGTATTTGGACGATTTGCTGAACGGTATTGAATGTGAATATTAAATTGCTATTAACAGAAATTATGAGAAGCAGATGCTAAGTTTGATTATATATACTTCTAGAAACGCAACGAAAGTAACGCTGTAAATATAAAGAGAAAGAATCATATTTTGTCGTGACGAGAGTGTATGCATGTATGTGTATGTGTGCAGAATGGGTAATAAAAGAGGGAAACGGGAAAAAAAGAGATAGAGAGAATGCGAGAATGATAGTATACTTGTAACAAATATATAATATACTTGTAATAAAGCATATAAAAGTCGACTTAAGCGTAATAGTATGAAAGTAGAATTACAAGAAGATAAATATTTGCCTGTTAAAAAAATGACTATTCTATGTTTATGTTTGATAAAAGCTATTTCTACATACTTTAATGAGATACTTCTGCTGTAGCTCAGTGATAATTGTCCTTATTTTTGTGTGTGTGTGTGTGTGTGTGTGTCTGTGTATGCGTGAGTGATGAAAGAATTTGCTTAACTTTTTCGTGTGTGAGAGTAATTAGCTGTAGAAACATTTTATAATAATCAACAAAATTCTCAGTCCAGCTTTTCATTAATTAAAAAAAAAAACAAAAAGCTACTCAATGAAGATATAGTCTTCCGTTTCAAATAATACGGTGTATCATCGCGAGTAGCGATGCTTGCATTATAATATTAGGAGCAAATTTGACAAAAAAAAAAACTTTTCGCCAATCATGACAATATTTGGAGGAAGCTGTGCAAAACGAATCGGATTATGCGATATTCGAAGAGCTTAAATACGACAGACTGCAATGACAATTATATGAATATATATATATATATATACATACATATAAATATATGTATATTAAAGTTGTAAGAGAAAGAAAGAGAGAGAGAGAGAGGAAGGAAAAGTTGTAAGTATATGAGGAAAACACCGGGCGTTAAGGGCCAAACAGCAGTGTAATATTAAATAGATTGTATCCTAGAGATAATATTGCGGATACTCATCACGCATAGTATTTCTTATATATATATATATATATATATATATATATATATATATATAAAATATACAGCGCAAGAAATTTTATATAGAAATAAAATGAAAGATATCGACAGAATTTTATCTATCCATTATCAACTAGTTCAGCAGTCCTTGCGCGAAAATTGCAAATTTTTCTTTTTATTAAAATATTGTAAAATATTGTAAAAACTACTCAACAGGGCCGAGCGTTCGTACCTATACAGCACGGAATATTACGGCAATATTGCTGCAATGTTCTGTGCTATATGCGCGAGTACGTATATAATATAAATTATATATACGCTAGACATGTGCGTGCGCGAGATGATCTCAATTCCGTGATTATGTGAGAAAAAACGCGTTCGGAATTAAAATGATTTTAGACACTATATTCATCTAGTTGAGCCTCAAGACAGAAAAAAAAGACAGGAAGAGACGCCCCCCCCTCCCCCCGATATATGATACGCTGAGAATATTTCGTTATCGACATAGAGAAATAATTATCCATGCAGAAAACACGATTAGAAAGTAGTTTTATACATATACATACAACACACACACCGAAAAGTATCGATAAAATAAAAAAATCTTTTTACAAAATATATCTTCACGTTTATTCGCCCTCGCGCGGAGAGAGAGAGAGAGAGAGAGAGCGATGAATAATTTTTTCCCTTTTATCTTGATTAATTCAAGCACGAGAGAGATGTAAAGATTCACATCGCGCATTGAGAGAGAAGCTAATGAGCGGAAATCCGCAAATATTATATTCCTAATAATAATAACGCAAATAATATCAACAGAATTGATTGTAAGATGATTTATACGTACATATCGACGATGATCGCGCATCAATTTTCCTGTTGCGACTTGCAGGAGACAGTAATGGCGGGAAGGAAGATCCACAGAAACTGAAGTCGATCCCGAGATCGCGATGTATCTGTTAATGCGACGATCGTGCGCATTTTTTATCCGTCACGACGTCTGACACTTAGCGAGAGGTGATTTTTCACACGCGAAATTCACTCTTGGACGGCAACGATCGCGAGAAAACGCGGAGCGATTCGAATCGCCGACTCGGCGCGATGGCTGCGGTTCGAGACTATTCGCGATTCTCGAAATATGCGGGTAGATCGAAGAAGGGCTGCCAATCGTCAAAACTTCCCGCGGCAAACTTTCCACCTATAACCGCGCTCTTTCTTTTTTATATGCATCACTAACAATAAATTTAAAAAACAATTCTACTATTGATAATATCTTAAAAAATCACTCTACTATTGATAATATTTTATTACTGACAGAATATTATTGCTAAAGTGCAGAGGTATCACTTGATAGGTTAATTACCGGATTTGGTCAGACTGATTCTTGCAAATTCAAAAAACTAACATATACATTAGAAATATAATATATATATATATAGTATTTATTATATATTTGTATATGTATAAAATATAATATAAAAACATTTTATCAGCGACTATCGGACAGAATGCGAAATTATGGAAAATTATCTCAATTAATTTTGAGACGAACACGTAAGATCATGACAAAGAGATGACCAATCACATGTTTAATATACGGTAATTTTTATACTGGACACGTGATTGGTCGATATTTCTCTATACATATATTTATGCGACCATACAAATTGCGTGATCATTCACCGTCTTTCATTCTTGGTTTCGGCTTACCTGTCCTGTAAATCGCGCGTGCAAGTGATTCGCGCTAAGGTGCGATGGCAATGTAATTCTAAGCCGGGCATAATTATTCACAGTCATTTTGACCGGTGACACGTGGTGTAACGCCTTCGTCATGGGAAGCACGGACACCACGACGAAATTGCTGATCGACAGTCACGAGATCGAGGAATACGGGACAAACTTGAAGATACTACCCTGCAACAACCAGGTGAAAGAGTTGCAAACCATTTTGCGAGATAAGTAAGTGACCCCGTTGCTGCATCTTCACAGATTTACAGATTGCACATACAGATATATATACAGATATACATATATTATAATAAATATAGCTAATTTTTATTTTTCAACTCTTCTGCAATTTCTCGTTATCAGAAAAGCTTTTGCACTTGTCAGATTTAATTAAATACTTATGTATTTGAATATGTAATTGAATTATAATTAAAAATGCTAGATTTTCTCTGTAGATTATTAGAAATGTGATTTCTAGTTTGTTATTAATAGATATCATTTTATAGGAATACCACGAGGAGCGATTTCAAGTTTTATGCTGATCGTTTGGTAAGACTTGCTTGATTTTATAACATATTGCTGAAAGTATCCATTGTATCTAGATCTAAATAATTATAGTAATTATAATACACATGTGCGATGTAACATATTGTGCTAAAATCTTTTTTTGAACATTGCATCATTATATCCACAAGAAACCATCAGTTTAAGTCAATAATTATTTAAAAAACAAAATATTGATTGCTCTAGATGATTGTTCTTTGGTAGATCTAAGCTTATTTTATGAGGAGAATATGATTGTAATTTCACCTGAATATTTTAGATTAGGCTAGTTATCGAAGAGAGTTTGAACCAATTACCTTTTACAAAATGTGTGGTAACAACTCCAACTGGTGCCAAATATAAAGGTTTGAAATATCAGAAGGGAAATTGTGGTGTATCTATAGTAAGAAGTGGAGAAGCTATGGAACAGGTATAATAAATACAATTAATCCTAAACATATATATTATAAGAGATATCTAAGAGATATCTTTGTGCGGAGATAAGCTATTGAACTATATCATGGAATGTTTTCCGTAGGGTTTAAGAGATTGTTGTCGTAGTATCAGGATTGGTAAGATATTGGTAGAAAGTGATGCGGATACACACGAAGCTAGAGTAGTTTATGCTAAATTCCCAGATGATATATCTGAAAGAAAAGTTTTATTGATGTATCCAATAATGAGTAAGTTTTTGAAAATATTTATATTGTAATAAGTAAATGTATATGTGCTGTACTCTAAATGAAGACATTTATTTATGCATATGTAGGTACAGGAAATACTGTCATAAAAGCTATAGCTGTACTGAAAGAGCATAATGTGCTCGAAGAAAATATTATCCTATCAAATTTGTTCTGTACACCAATTGCAGCCAAATCTCTAGTCACTGCCTTTCCTAAGGTAAAACTGTCATCATATATTTTTATAACAATATATATTTTCATACAGTTTTGCATAATAATGTCTAATTAAACATTTAACTCTAGTAATACATATATTTCACTTTACTAAATTATTTTTTTATTTTTTTTTTACAGATGAAGATCTTAACATCAGAGATCCATACTGTTGCACCAAATCATTTTGGACAAAAATACTTTGGTACGGATTAATTATATTTCACTACTGCATAATACACTAAGAGAAATATACTGCATAATAAAATTGAGAGAAAATCAATTAAGAATGATTACATGCTATAAAAATTAAATTCTAAATGCTCTCTATTAAGCTAATTAATACTTAATTATTTATTATATGAAAATTATTTATTATTTATATGATATTTAACAGTGATATATTTAAAGACGCACTCTTTTTTTCTACAATGTCTCAATATATATTTAAAGATTTAGCTTTAAAAACAGTATACTTTTGAAAATTATACCGAATTATTTATCAAAAGTAAATTTATTTTTATGACTTATAATTAAAATATATATATGTCTTATATGAATAATTTTGAATTGCATACGAAATTATAACAACATTATAACATTTATAAACAATACTTTTATTGTAGAAATAGAATGGGACTAGCAGTTTAATATAAATAAGTCAAATTTTGTTATAATTTTACATTATATCCATTTTGAGAGGTTTTAGGTCTACTAGCTGTATACATTCTCTTGATTTTCTCTATATGATAAGACTGTAAGTAATACATTTGTTTTAAATGTTAAATTAGAATCAATTGAAAATATGAAATAAGTAATATTTTTACAATGATATCTCTTTTACCAGACAACAATTTTTTGTCAAATTTTTCTAATCTTTTTGTGTTTTCTAATAGACATTATATAAATATTATGAATTTTATATGTGCCATACTTCATACAAAATATTTGCATAAATTATCTCGCTTTAAAATAAACTGAGTATCATATGCGATAATACTTGTTTTAATATTGCATATATATATACGAACACATACATACATATATACATATATATATGCATCTATATATATGCATCTCATGAACAATTCATGGAATCACCGTCCTATTAAAAAATAAAAACAATTTAATATATTTAAATAATTAAGAGCTTGACATTACAATCAATTATTATTTTCAAAATTGCTTTAGTTTTTTATTATTTTATCACTAAAATTATTTGACTGAATTGAAGAAATGAAGATCTTAACTGACATTAAAGTTGTAACTATTGTACGGTATATAAGTAATGTCAGGTTTTCTACGTATAAAATAAATGACATGTGTGCAATATTTATGTATAAGTATATAGAAAAAAGAGATTAAAAATCTATTACATATATGTGTTAATTAAAACACAATATTTTTTATCATAATATTTTTACAATATTTTTTTTATTAGATTTGATTTAGATTTTATAATGCTAAATTTGTATGTTTATTAATATTATAAATTTCATACGTAATAAAATTAATATGCATTAATAAATTTTAAATCACTTAATAACAAGCATAATTCCGAATTTCAATGCATATTAATTGAATGCTTATTTTTTTTTATATCTAATTTAGTTAGAATAAAAATGAAAAATTTTTCATAATTTGACTTAATTGTTGTCGAAAAGATACATACCTCATAATATGTTATATAATATCTTTAAATAATACATTGTATGTATTATTTTTGCTATATATGTTTTACAGAGATCTTGTGAGAAATTAATCTGTTTAGATAACATAAATATAAATGTCTACAGAAAAGCATAATAAGAAATGTGGTGAAATGTATTAGAATGCATTAAAACAATTTTTAAGATACAATGTTATAATAATTTAATAATTATATTTCTATATGTATGTTTTTGAAACTTATAAAAAGAAACGCACTATATATGTGTGTGGAAAAGTAACTTATGATCTGAGATACTTATATCGATAATTTAAAAAAATTGAATAATTTTCATTCTTGTTTGTTGCATTTTATATGTAATTTTTAATGGAATATATTTGTATACACATTAATATACTTATAATTATATATATATTCTTCTTAGTACATTTTAGTCGAAAGGGGTACAAATGTTATTTACAATAGTTCAATATAGTCAGAATATAGTATATTTTAATGTTTAATGTGAAGAGAATTAAATAATATACTACATTATGTAATTTATTTATTTACTTGATGCCATATAAGTATTTGATGCGATTAAGAAAAGATAGTCTTAATTGTTAATGTCAGTTAAGAACAAAGAATACTATATGTACAACAGTACATATATATTAAAAACTATTTTGTGTACAATATGTAGAATGCAGTTTCTGAATTCAAAATATAATTTAAAATTCAATATATAACTAAAAATTGGAAGGAAAAGAAGAATTGTGTAGAACTTTATAAATCAACAAAAAACACATAGCTATGCTCATTGAATGGGCTATGCAGCTTTTACATGCAAGTTTTAAAAAGAAATATATTTTATATGATTTTCAATAAGTAATAACTATTAACATGTTTATTTACAAGCAAAAAAATTACAGTTGAAATAAATTATATTTAAAAAAAATATCTTTAATAAAAAATCCCTTTAAAAGAATATATTTTTAAAGACTTGATTGTCTACAAAGCATTCTTATTAAACTATTTGCCTTATAACGTGCCTATGAAAAAGCTGCATTTAAAATCACAGCAATATCTTAGTAAGACCAACAATTCATGTAATGTAAATTTTCATTGGAAATGAGACATATGTTATATCCACACTATTTAAATTATAAGTTTATTTACATTGTTTACTACCTTTTACGTATTAATAATAAATTGTTTAATAAATATATTGTATCAATATTGATAAATACAAATATATATGTACACATTAATTATTAATTACTTAATATATCAAATAATATAAATAAAATAAACGCAACACTTTGTAAAAATAAATATGTTTTTACATATTATTTTTTTTATATTTTTAAAATATATAAAATATTTTTATAATATAAAATATTTAAAATATTTTTATATTTTTAAAATATATAAAAATTTGTAGAAAGAGAACTTATATATCTAGCATAGTCATGTTTTTATTGTATTTCTATTATCATTGTGATGATGTAACTTAATTACAATTAAATAATATGATTCTGTATAATTAATATTAACATTAATTATATAAATTCTTAAATTATTTGTCGTATATACTTTTTTAATCTTTCTAATCACAATTAACAGATTTATTTCATTTAATTTTATTACTAGTAATAAAAATTTTCATAAAAAACTTGGCTGTAAATTTGTCAAAAAATTTATATAAAATATATATAAATGCTATTAAAAAATATAAATACATATGAATAATACGTTATATAATTTATTAATAATAAGAATATAACTTATAAAGATTTGTAATCAAATATTGCCAAATTTTTTTAAACATATATACTTTTACGTATACCAAACATACATTATAAAAAACATTGAATTATTGTTTTCAGGCTGTACTCGTGTCGTAGTGGAGACACCAAGTATACAAGAGAAAGATAATTGAAAAATTATATCTGATATTGTGTTGAATCTTATATAATTGAATTAATCTCAAAATTAGTAAATTTTAATCATTCTATAAGAAAAAAAAAAAATATATATATATAACAACTTTTGTAAATCAATCTCAGACTACATAGGCATTAGAGTTTTAATTCGGAAAAGTATAAAGAATATTTTTAGATATTTTATGAAGAAATATATTTTGTGTCTGTTTTTATATTGCTTAAGAAAAAATCATAGGTCTGTTATAGAATAACATGCATATATTTCAATATCTATATACTTACCATGCTTGACAATGAAAAATAGAATCAAATTTTCCACAATATATTCTACTTAGACAATATAATATTTTTATTATTTTGTGATATATTAGAAATAGATTTTTAATAATATATAAATGGAATTAAGCTTAAATTGTTATATTTATTAGTAAATTGTATGCATGTAACAATGATTGCTGTGATCTATATATGTGATTCATATGTATATGTATACACATATATAATATATATTGAATATTATCTTTGTAAATATGGTTATATTTAATGATGATGTGTATATATATATTTTTCTCTAATGCAATGTTAAAATTTATTTTAATATTAATATATTGAACCTTTATTGTTACCGTTTCCCTATCTTTAATAAGAAAGACATGTTAACAAGGAATAAAGCTTTGCCATTATTCTCCTCTTTGATTACAATAAATTATATATCAATCATAAATTTAATACATTGTATTGAAGAATAGAATTATAATAGCAAAAATAATGTTTTATTTCATTTATTTAACAAAGCGATTTATATGTAGCAAATGCTGCATAAGACTATTTTTTGACAATGATATTATTTTAACGATATATAAGTAATAAGAGATTTATATGTAAAATATTAATCTTATCTAGCATAAGGAGAAAATGTATCATTAAAGTAATAAGAAAAATAATTTATATAGGCCTCTCAATTGTTACAGTTGTTGCCATTATTATCATGTACTATTACTTTAAAACAGACTACTTTGGAAACACTTTGTTATTTCGTATATTTGTATCAAATAAATAAAATATTTCTCACATGTTATTAGAAATTTATTATTTTGTGCCAATGTAGCAATCGTAAGAACTTTTTTTTGATTAAAAATTTTTATATGTTGTAATGTAACTTATAAATATTTAAAATTTTGTGTATTTTAAAATAGAAACTACTTTTTTTTTAAATATCAAAAAATCAATAACTACAACGATCAAACTCAAAGATTTTGTTAAGCTAAATTATATTGTATTGAATAGTAAGCATGAATCATATACATACGTATCAATGAAATTATGTCATGCCAGTATGAATCATATGTACTATATATTCTGTCATATATATATATATATATATATATATATATATATATATATATATAAGTAGAAATACGAATAGAAGTTTATACAATAAAAATAAATGTTTATAATTGAGCTATAAAAATCTAGAAATCTCCTCTTTTGTTCTTTTTTTCTAAAAACTATATAATTCTCTCTAATACATGTAATACATAATAACTTGAAGAAAAATCAATGACTTTTTACAGCATATTTGGAAAGACCATTTTTATCTTAACACAATGAAATATTAATAGTCAAAACTATCTTTAATACTGTACATGTTTTGAGATTTTTTAAATGTATAATATAAATATCAAAATTTTCTCATATATAACATTTAATTATATTTTTAGACATAAAAAAATTCGATTTATAATAGAAATATATCTATGTTTGTCCTCATATATCTCCAATGATATTATATGTATATATGCATTTGTTACTATATCCTACATATTTACTTACATGTTTTTGCACGCTGCAACATAATAATCAAAAAGTTGTATACTAATGGAAAAAAAAACGTAAAAGAAAAATATACTTTAATTTCACTTTGAAAGTGCTATAATATATTAGGTATGGTGCAATATGTGAAACAATGCAAAATAATAAACAATAAAGGTGAAGACGTGTATAAAGACAGCAATATGAAGGAATTATCTCATATCATCTAATCAAACCTGTTGGAAAACAGACATTGGTGTGTGAGGACGCGCTTGATCTAAAATACAAAGTATATTCTATAAAAGTATGTTCTCTATGCGTGTCACTTGTACTGTTCATTCAGCAGACTTTCCACAATACAGAATATTATCTTGGCAGTACCTTCATTCAGCCTTAGTAATGTAATAAACGTAGCTTTGCAAAATACGCTTGTGGGTGGAAAAGGAAGGATGTATGGAATATATCCCAACTTTACATGAGGTATATCTCCTCGTATCTATTCCTCTTTTTCTTGGTCGTCGGATTTTTCTTCATTCTTATCCCCATTATCTTCGGCATGTTCACCTTCATCACTAGCGATAATTTTTGCCGCGCTATCTTCAGTCGGTTTAGAGTCATCTAAGGCTTTATTCTCACTGTCTAAAGTTGTTCTTTCTGGTAAACTAAAGAAGATGATATTATAATTTGCTAATGTTGGATATATTTTTATATTGTAATAATCTTCTACTTATATCAGTTACCTGTCGGAGAGTATTATATCTGCTTCTTTATCCGCAGAAGGCTGAAAGAAATAAATATGTTATATAAATATGAAAGAAATAAATATGTAGTAACTGTAATATAAATTTAGTAGCAAGTCGAAAGAACTAGTAAATAGCGAGAGAGAGAGAGAGAGAGAGAGAGAGAGAGAGAGAGAGAGAAATAAGTAAGAGAAAGTGTATTCTCATGTATTTGTGTGACTAATTAAAATAATTACACAGCTAATAGTCTATTATTATAAAATTAAAATATATAGTATCTTTTAATGTATATGTTAGTTTCTTTTGAAAGACATATATATATATATATATATATATATATATATATAGTATGTATAAAAAAATAGTTTGTCAACATGTATATATTGTACACATGTCAAACAATAAACATTTGACTAATTGTTATTTCTAGCAATTAGTCATGTATTTATTGTTTGGCATGCTATTTTGTTTGACGTTTTAAAATTTTTTATCTCTCAAATAAAAGTATATATATAAAGGACATATACATGTTATTTGAAAAACAAACTAACACAGATCTTTTTAAATTAATAAAAAAATACAATATTACCTCTCGACTTGAAGTATTTCCATTCTCTTGAATTGCATCATTCTGAGATTTTGAATCAAGAGTGATTTCCGCAGTGCTAATTGCTGGCGTTACTTTTAAAAACTTTTCTAATTCATCCAATTCGTTTGCTAAATCAAAGTCTTCATAATCCTGCAAAATTTAATCGCTTATGTATATTGTATTAGAAATGTGATTTCATTTAGATCTTTATTATCTTTGCTTTTGTCGTATGTGTACAACATATTTGTAGAATTAATATACATTATTTTAAAAAATAACAAGATTAAAATATAAAAGAGAAAAGATAATTACTCCGCAATAATCATCTTCATTAAATATTTGTGGTGGCAATGGATATTTGTTGGTTCTTGCATTGCTATTAGCTTGCATGAATTCTTTGTCTAGTTCCTTGCCTGGCTCTGTTATATCAATAATCTCATATTCCACATTTTTACTATCTAAAATCATCATCACACGTTGTTGTCTTTTCTTCACCTGTAACATATTTATTATATTTATTATATGATTAAAATCCTTTTTGGACTTTCACTAATTTGTAATACATATATATATATATATATATATATATATATATATATATGTATTACAAATTAGTATATATATATATATTGTATATATATATATATATACAATTATTTGAATTTATTACAATGAATTTTGTAAATATCATAACTGGCAATCTACATTTATATACATAATTTATAAATTTATGAATAATAAATATTAAATAAAAATTAATGTTAAGTCTATCATTTTTATAATAAGGAGTTAATTGTCCTAGAGTTCTTTATATATTGTATTTTTATAATAATAAAATTATACAACAGTGTATACATATGTATGTATATATGTGTATGTATATATATATATATATATATATATATATATATATAATATATATAAAGTCAGAGCAATGACAAAGTCGACAAAGTTGTTGCGTACATTTTAGCTTTATAGCAAAATATTACATGACAACGGTATATGACAAGATAAATTTATCTACGTGATAATGATGTTTTTTGATTTTTAATTTTTACATATCGTATTTAAATATGTCGTTGATAATGTTAATTATCATTGTGATTATTATTGTTGATCAAAATTTTATATTTTGTAATCTATATATATATATATATATATATATATATATATATATATATAAAAACATCATTATCACGTAGATAAATTTCTTGTCATATACCGTTGTCATGTAATATTTTGCTATAAAGCTAAAATGTACGCAACAACTTTGCCGATTTTGTCATTGCTCCGACTTTATTGAAATAAACAGGCCCCGACGATGCCCATGATGATCAGCTGTTAACAAAATTTGCATGACATCGTATGCGTCCATTGTCGGCAAAAACGACCAATGGAACCAATTAAAAAGCGCAATACACAAGCGCATATCGCGTGTCTCAAATGACAGTCCCCCGATCATTACGCGCTCCGAAGCCGCGAGAGCGTGTCGTTCGCACTGTAACCTGATACAGCGACGACGACGATGATGATCTGAGCGCCAGGTCAGGTCGCAGTGAAGGCAATCCCGCAACAATCCCGATATCGAGTATCGCGCGATATCGGAGCCTGGGCGGTCGTCATCGACGAGAATCGAAACTCACTTCCTTGTTGCCGCTGATACCCGATATGTAGATCTTGACGACCATCGTTGGCTGTATCACCGGCTGGCTGGCTGGCTGGCTGCCTGAGACACGACGACGTACACTCTCTGGCTGCGCTCCGATCCCGATCCGATCCGATTAGCGACCGGACGTACGGAAGTTGCGGGAACACTACGGACAACTCTGTAGCCGACCACCAACAACCGATTGCTCCTGATGTCTGGACGTTACTAGACGATTGCACTGGCTTACACGCTGACGCGTAACACACTGATTTAACGGGCCGGCCTAAGTCCGGGCTCTCCGCTGCCTGCCTGGCCTGGTCTACGTCATTCAGGGGGGCCGGTTCTCTTTCTCTCTCTTTCTCTCTTTCTATCGCCGCGCCCCAGGGATGAATAATACACTTTTCTTATGATGCGACGCAATATATTTACAATAGTATTTTTAAGTGATAGAACGAAATAATTTCTTAGAAATATAAATTGAATAAAATAAATATTATAGATGTAAAAAAATAGGGATATCATCGATGAGGTCGAAATACTAAATAATTTTATTAATTAAAAATTTACGCTTGTGATACTTTTATTATATACGTTCTTATATTAGGCAATTTTATCGATAATTTATGATGTTAACTAAGTCAGTTTGAGAGAAATTAAATTAACGAAAAATATTTATTTTTGTTTGTAATATGCATTTTTGTAATCTGATAAAATCTCTCTGTAGAATCTCCCACTTAATCCTTTTGTGTTTAATTTTAATCCTATATTATTTAATATGTTTTAAATATAAAAAAACTAGATATCTTTCTTATATTAATTTTAAACTATTACACGATTTTGATACATATATGTATAACAAAAAATAATTTATATAATTTATTCGACAAAAATAACTTTGTATCAATATTTATTAAAAAAGTATATTACATAATAACTTTTTTATTACATATTTAATTTTTTTTGCTAAATATGTTAAATTTAATTATATTTTTAATAATCGAATTAGATATATATCGGCGATACTAAGTTTTTAGCAAAAATGGGATTCGATTAAGTGGACGAAACATTGTTTAGAATTTTCACAGCTGATATATAATTGAAAAATGTTAAATTAATTAATTCTAGAATTTTTAAACTATTCCCGCGTTCATTTAAATTCGACGATGTTACGATTCATTTCCTTTCAGCGAACTTCCGGCGTTGCACGACACGGCTTCTTCCTCGCACATCGCGTCCTCTTCTTTCCGGTTCTTTGCTAAAGTGTTTTACATCTATTCAAAATGGTAAGATATTTCATCAAGCATTGTTTATCAAATCTTGTCGAAATATGCACAGCATTGACTGCCGAACAGAAGTGATTGTTTTCGAGAAACACTTAACGAATATATTTCATCGTAGTGTTTATTTCACGTGACTATAAAAGATATAACCTTATAGTAGGGTTATGTTTTGAAAATGCAACTTTGCATTTAGCTTGAATATTGTGTATAGTAGATATTTTATAATTATTTTAATTTTTTAACAGGCCAAACGTACGAAGAAGGTCGGAATTACCGGTAAATATGGCACCCGTTACGGTGCCTCTCTTAGGAAGATGGTAAAAAAAATGGAAATCACACAACACAGCAAATACACTTGCTCGTTTTGCGGCAAAGTAAGTAATTTTTATGCTTTCTGAAATCTGGAAAAGAATAAAATTTTAAATCATCTTTGTGTGATCCTTCAAAGTTAAGATTTTATTAAGAAATGCATTTATTTTTATAAATGTACCGTGTATCTTTTATAATATTCTCTGGTGATTTACAATAAGTAGAATATAAGAGGAATTTAAGCTATATTGTTTTGTTTTTAACAGGAGGCAATGAAACGCAGCGTTGTAGGAATCTGGTCATGTAAACGATGTAAGAGGACAGTTGCTGGTGGTGCGTGGGTATATTCCACAACCGCTGCTGCTTCAGTAAGATCAGCAGTACGTCGATTACGTGAAGTTAAAGAACAGTAAATATATCTAATAAATATCTTTTTGTCCATATTTACTGTGAATTTGTTTTATTTAATGCAAAACCAATTACTTTTAATTGATTTGTATACTTACACAATCATAGTTTATACATTATATTTTATTAGTGATAGTTCTTAGCTTTTTATTAGGTTGTATATATAAACAAATTATTTCTTATTGCATTCTTTATTAATTGTTAAAAGAATAGGAAATTATTTAATAATACAAAAAAATATAGATTTTTAACAGATTTAAAAAATGGTTTTAAATATTGGTATAATAGTAAAATATAATTATAATAAATTATTGCATTTATTGAATGGGAATTATATTATTGAAATAACGATATCAACGATTTTTTCACATATATAACGAAACTAATTATTTATTCTAACAAGATATTATATCAATCATTATATGCTTATTTTATAAAGTTTTATAGAATACTTATGTGGTACCATTGTAACAATTATAAACAAATTAATTTTAAGAGCATAATGCTCTTTTTTTTTTTAGCCAATCTTATGCATTCTACAAAAATGTATTACATTCTAGAAAAAGAAACTTGGATTTAAATATTAACATATACATTCATTTTTACAAATTTTATCTATTTTAAAAATGTTTTATAAATCATACTAGTATCGTAGTACATATACATTATTTAAACTCAATAGAATATACAAGTAATTTTATTGTCTTCAAAAGATTATGCTTACAGTTCATACTATTATAATTGAATTTTTTTTTCATACCATTATTATTTGAACTGTGAAGCCAGAAACATTATTATATTTGTTGAGCAAATGATGAAAATGGAAATTGTTCATTAGCAGTTTTATTCATTAATAGTAGCATTTTTTGTAAAGCGAAATCAACTAGCTTTTAAGGAATGACGTACTTGTAAGAAGGTACTATTGACTACCATTTTTCTCGATCACGAATGGATATTTTATAGATCTATAAAGTGGACTATAACATTACTTATTTTAACGTATAAGTCTCAATTTTGTTTTATACAAAAATAAATACCACAGTCTTAGAAGACAAATGTCAAGCTATTAACGTTGCACCATCACCATAACATTCTTTTGGATTACATAAGAATAATGAGTATATTTGTCATTCGATCGCAGTTAGAAAGGAAGATCTTTTAAAATCGTGTTGGAAGTTATGAGTGCAAATTTATAAAAAATTTTCTTACAGAATTGTAAATTTAAAAATTTTTGACATGAAGCGAAAAATGTCATTTTCGATTATTAAAAAGATTAAAAAAGGGATTTTATCATAAAATAATGTTAAAGAAGAAAATTACAATTTAAAACAAAAAGTGATTCAATTCAATTAGTTTTTGTATGATACAAGTGTCTATAAAAATTATTCATCTTGAAGCATAATTTTTCACAGTATATCTATTTTCGTGAATATCGTTTAGGGAAACAATCAACAAATGTTGTGTGTTATGTCTGTTTATACCTCGTAAAAATATTCGCTTGTATCGTTAATTATGGAAGACACTCTGAAAAACATTAAGAAAAATTGCATTATGTCTCTGTGAATGACAATCGCAATAATCGCATACATTTAACTAAAACTTACTGGAAGGATTCTCTATACATTGCCATAAAATCTGAATAAGTACATTCTTTGCGCGAAACGACGCGTAACAATTAAATTATACGAACGAGATGCAACGAGGAGGAACTATTAGAATATAAAAAGATCCAATGCTCTTTCCTAGTTATTAAATGGATTGTACAATAATAACTTCTATATTATTATCGGTAGCGTGTGTAATCACATCAATTTCACTAGCATTCGAGCATTCATTCTGTCATTGTTTCGCGATACATTCTAGGATATTCACATTTCATTATTGCGCACTGATCTAATGGTCAATCAATCATCCATCATTGCACTCATCTGAAGTTATCAAATATGTCTCTTTTCTGTATTAACAATTATTTTATTTATAACAGTGTCATCTGATATGCTTTCTTCTCTACTGGCTTTCCTTAGTCAGAAAAGAAGAAAAAAGTTCACTTTGTTTATGTCATTTCACATTCGTGTCTACATGCAGTCAAAGTTCATCTCTGTTATTATTATGTGGATTAAACAAATCGTACCTGTTAAGGACTGTGCCATACACGAAGAATGGCAGTAAATTTTCGGTACTGTTTTATCAATAGCGAATAAGTCCTATAGAATCGAATCAATTAACTACAATCTTGTTTCCGACATGATTCGATTTCACGCGCACTGTCAATTCCATTTGATGCACACATTTAAATCATGATTAGGCGTGATACTGAACTTGTTCCTTCGACCACTTGTTGTAATACTTCGTTTTGGGCGCGCAAGATTCTTCGTCCATATCTCCTTATCATTTATTAAATATATTAACAAATATTGCATATAGAACTGGCGTTTAGAGTCGATTCGTATTAGCTAGCTTGCCATTTGAATTTGCTACGCATGATCCATCTTTGGCCAATATTATTGGCATCGCACGGCGCTAAAACGGGTTGCGACGCGTCACCCGAATGAGGTTTCGACAAGCAATGACCTGTATTTGTATGTCTAATCATTTTGGTCTGCAAAAGAAACGACGTGTCAACAACAATATTACTAATTTATCTAATAATTTCAGATATCTTTCTCTTCTACATATTTTCACTATTTCTTACCTCATTGTTGTAAACCCATGCTTGATTACCACCCATGCCATGACATCTCACAATCTTCACAGGACCTTGTGGACTAGCTGCATCAAGGCACATATCGTCGGACATTATCTGCTGCCGCTTAGTATAGGCAAATACCTGGTGACACAGTTTTCATTAGAGATTAATATTCTAATAGATAGAAAGTAAAAACGATATGTCGATATGTCGATTTCCAGCATAATATGAAATATTTTAGTTTATCAAAAACAAAATACAAACCTGATTTCCACCTAATCCATGACAATAGCTAATTCCGACATTCTCCCCAGTTCTTCTACCCATAGTATCCAAACAAGTTTGCATTTCAACGTTTTTCACGTCGCCGAGATAATAATAATCTAGGGGCATTGGTGATTCCGGATATATGTTCTCCAAGTACCATCTGAAGCTCTTACACTTTAATCGTTCTCTGAGCTTTATCCGTTCAGAGACATCGCCGACATCAACGTTTCGCGCTCCTATGAAAAAATGAAATATAATATTTCTATATAATACTATATAATTCCTAAACTATATAGAAAGAAGATTTATTCATACATATCTCTTTACATATTATACACGTATGATAAATTTGAGATGAAAACAAGATTTGTCGTAAAATTTTGTGTTAAAATAAAAATATTTGTCATGATATTGTATGATACATTGAATTTCCTAAAAGAAAAAAAAATAATTGTGCAATTATGCAGCATTTTTTTCTGAGAATCTGAAAGGTGTAAAGAGGTTTATGAAATAGCATTGATCTATATATGCAATAACTATTTTGTACATATTTTAAAATACAGCGTGCGATAGAGAGATGTATTGTGCTTTATCAAAATTATGCCAAGTATCTGCGAGTTTAGAAATATTGTTTCTAATCATAAAACCGTGTCACATGTGGAACTCTCAATGCCATGCATGTGACTTATATTTTCTTCCAAGACAACACCTTTAAATATTCTCTCATTTACATTTTCGTTCGTTTGTCTATCGTACCTCTGTTATTATCCGGCACATTATTAAATAATACACATTATAGAGTTAAACATAACAACAATGATGTTTCAAAATTAAATGTTAACGGGTATCTGATAGAGAGAGATAGCGAGCACCCGCAACCGTATGAGAATTAATGATGAAAAATAACAAATAATAATAAGGAGACATGCAGACCTTCCGAGATGTGGAAGCATGCGTCGTAGCGCAAAGCACAACCAATGCATAAGAACGGGGATGCTCTTGATAATGATAGGTTTTCTTTTTAATACGCCAAAACGTGTTAGTGCTACCTGGATTAATGTTGTAATAGAAGTACTTCCATTGGTCCAACCAAACTTCTGCGAGCCGCGCATTGTTGTGGTTGACTATCTTGCTGGTACCACCCGGGAAAGTATACGGGGTCGATTTACGGAATACGTGCCCGACGTGCGAGCATGTCGCAATTTCCAATGTCCCACCACACATCCATATCTAACCAACTCAATTCTGTTAGTGTGTTAGCGGTCACAATGATAGGTAACACGATAAAAGGAAAAGAAAAAAAAAAAAAAAATAACATGTATCGCAAATGTATATCGTATTCTGCGACTCATGGTTGGTGGATTGGCAACTCTCTTCTTGCAACCTATATATACCTATAACGTAGCTTGACAAGAGGATTTTATTCAAAGCAAGCGCAATTCTCGATCGGTTAGTCGGCTGGATGGATGAGTGGTTAAGACTACACCAGCATTTGTATCGAGAGATACAGAAACAAAATATCTCTGAAATGTTCACGTTTAGTGAATGTCAATGTTTAGCTCTTACTATCTTCATTAAATCCACATCGTAAAATTATAGCACTTAGTCGGTTAAAGAGATAAATGTGAAAGTGAAGTAAAGTATCTTGACGGTAATCAGGTAGATTTTCTCGATTAAGGATAATTTTTACGTTAATAAAGATCTTCTTTAGAGATATTAGCAATGTAACGTATACAACTACTGATGTTATATATATATATATATATATATATATATATATATATATATGAAATATTAGTAAATACACACATACATAAATCATAATGTACATAACACATATAGAGAAAATGGTTAACTAATTTATGGCATATATATTTGTGTATAACTAAAATATGTTAAAAACTATTTTATAAAAATATATATTAATGCAAAAGACTTCTATATTAATTAATATTAGTCAAATGGAGAGAAACAACTTGTTAACAAGAAAATAATGCATTCAAAAATAACTGCAAGTCACATAGCTGTATACGAATTATAATATTTCGATGTATATAAACGATTTGTATCAGATACCCGTCAAATATGTGTAATATAGTTTCACTTGATGTATATATTGCAGTTTTAAAAGATGCTTTATTAAATAACATCGTTGCTAAGCGCTACACGAACATCAGCTGTATAGAAATTTCGAAATACAATAGAAAATCCCCTTTCACGATTTTCGAAAATAGAACGTATTGATATTTTTATATAAATTATACAGCGGATGTGTGTTGAATGATTTTGCAAAATTCTCATATTTTATATAGCATATCTAGATTCTGATACTGAAGTGCGCAACGATGGTATCATTTAGCGCAATTCTAGTAACAACATTGCAGAAATTAATTAAACGATACACTTGATTATCTAACCTGGATTCATGGCATAGTAAAAATCTCTCCACTCATCCATCCAGACCTCGGCCACCCTGGCCGCATTGTGCAGGACTATCTTGCTGACACCACCAGGGAATGTATATGGACTCTTGTCCCGGAATACATGTCCCACATGAGAGCATGAGCTGATTTCTAATGTTCCACCACATTGCCATACCTATAATGTACTTACAATTTTACAAATGATACCGGGAATTTACGCGAAGATGCCCTTTACAACTCGGCCTTTTTGTTAAACACATTTTATGTTATACAGTTGTACAATATATTTAGATCAAAGTGAATTATTGCCAATATTAAAAATAACTCATTTCTCGTAAAGTCAAGATTTTTATAAAATTTTCGCGTAAAATATATGCATTATTATATTAATTAAAGCGCGAAAAACCAGCAATTTGGATTATATAATTATCAAATAAATATATTAAATGAGAGAGAAAGCGAGAGAAAAATGAATATATAATCTTAAATTATATATTAATTTATTCATTATAATATTCTGTTCAGTTTAGATTCAGAAGTTACGTAAAGTTTATGTAGATAATTCGCATAGATAAATCGATAATCATTCTTATCATATCTCGAAAAGGCTTACCCGAAAACTCATTTCAAGATTTTCGCCGCCCCAGATATCCATGCCTTCGTCGTACGCGCCCAACTCGTAGAAGTATTCTTTATCAATAGAAAACAATCCGCCAGCCATAGTTGGTGTTCGTAGTGGTGCTGTTCTGTCGCCGTTTCTTCTATCCATCTCTCTCTGTGCGACTCTATACCTTATTGAGCAAAAGTTAGGGTGGCGTTAAAATCTTTAGAAATTTTTAGAAAAATTACAATACTATACAATATGATATCACACTAATGTATACAATTTGAAATTGTCTTTGTTTTAATCGAAATTAATTATATTCAATTTAGTTAAACAATAGTAGTATACATGTGTATATTTGTCGTGGTGAATATGAATATTGTAATAAATTAGTAAATTCGACAGTTGTAATTATACATAAACAGCGATAAAGAGAAGAGTTGCTATTGATTTCAGCTCATTATATATATAGATATAATTAAATTAAAATAAAACTTGACAAAAATTTACAAATATAATAACTCAAAAAAGGGAAACTTATAATTCATCATAATCTTATATACATATATAAATATATATCAGCATTGATCAATAAATTTGGTATTTGTAGCTTTATAGATATTAATCTAATCTAATTATTCATCGCAAAATATGTAGATCTCCACATTTGCAATTCAAATTTTCTTCATTTATTTAAGAAAGTGAGAGATTGAACTGGTTCGATTAAAATTAGAATATAATACTATAATTAGAATTGAGAATACAATAACATCTAAAGTTAGCGCTACATTACCATCTAAAGTTTAATTTCCAGTTGAAACCACCCCAGGTCATGTCACTGGCTGGGATATATTCGAAGGTGTCATCGCTGATGACGTCTATGATCGGACAGACAACGGTATGCCTATCGTTGGCGATTCTTGAAAGTAACGGCTCCAACCAACCTTCGGTGCACTCACAGTGCGCATCTAGAAACGTGATTACTTGTCCCTTGACGTATTTCGCCCCTAAAAGCCTTGCTCTTATCAAGCCCGACCTCTTTTCGGTACGATATACATAGGTAGGAACAGGTAGCTCAGTTATATGCTTCTCCAACTCTTTCTTTAGATGTTCTAGAAAATAAAGTTTTATCCATCAAGTCACTTTGAGATTCAAATTTTGACTAACATATTTGATATTCAAAATTCTCTTTTTAATATCGATTAAAATTTTTTTCATTAATTGTTGTGAAACATAACATATGATTGACAATTGTAAATTAATATTAATTTTAAGTACATGTAAAATTAATGTTGATTAAACGTGCTATATATTTATTTTTAGCGATCCGATAAGAAACGTACCGCGCTCGCTCGCGTCGTCCACAAGGATGATTTCTTTCAATAGCGACCTGGGAGACCTGTTTATTACAGACCAGACTGTCCTCAGCAGAGTGGTCCACGCCTCGTTGTGGAAAACTATCACGATACTCGTGTCCGGAAGATACTTGGGATATTTCTTATTTTTACAACCCTCGAGTCTGATGTCCTTCAGAGATCGATTCAAGGAGATCAAATCGCTGGCCATCAGATTGAACTGATTCAGCTTGAACAGCTCCTGCTGCTTGGCCTCGTTCTCTGGCGCGATGTGCACAGCCGCTCCCATCTCGCCAGGACTGCCCTTGTTCTCCTTGATGACTCTCGCCGGCCTCCACAGATGCAATTTGCTCTGCAAATACTGCCTCTTGGTGCCTACATACTCGTGTTTCAGCGCTTTCGCCTCTCCGACCGGGATCTTCGCATGTACCTGGGACGGAGACTCCTCGGACTGAAGCGCGGACTGCTGCTGCTTGTTATCTGGACAGTTCCATCCGGACCCTCCGATGCAGTCCGAATAGAACATGAGCACCATAACGTCGACCAGGAACCATACCAGCGACGTCAGCAGTATCACTTGACATGTGTGAATGCGAATCTTGAAGCGAAACATCTTTCAACGACGGCAGTCCTCCGCTTGTACCACGAGCTGCTCATCACCCAATTTCCGCGCGATCAAACTCGCGATTTAGATCCTTGGACGAGACTTGAAATTGGGATATCTTCGCGACACCGAGTTCAATGAAGCTCCGTGGAATTACATGACTTTTCAGCACTGCAACAGAGAAAGAGAAGCTGACCTTATTACCGGAAATTTGGTTATATATCGATACGTGACTACAAAAGTAGCGGGGACATTGGAAGATTTGATGTCAAAAGGTTGTCTGGGAGATAAAACTAGAATTCTTTTGGGAAATCGATTCGTTTCAGCTTTATGCACGCTTATCACGATTCTACGAATCTAAAAAAAAATAAAGCTTAGATTTTTTCTTTCTATATATTAATATTATATTATAAGAATATTATATTATATTAATATATTATATTATGAGAATATTATATTATATTAATATATTATAATAATTAAATTAATTAATAATTTAATTTCGATTAGGAATTTCAATATGGAGTTTATAAATTGTATTTCGGAGTAAAAAAGACTTATTAAAGACTATTAAAGATTATACAATATTATATAATATTATATAATATTATACAATATTATATAATATTATACAATATTATGTTATATAATATTATACAATATATATTATATAATATTATACAATATTATATAAATAATTATTTATTTACTATAAAGAGTAATTCACAAAAACTGCTCATTAATTCATAATAATTTACAGCGCTGTATGCCTTGAAAATGATATGAAATATTATCGATTATAAAAATTGATTTTAGGATTATCATTAATAATAATATAGATAATTCCTTCCAAATTTTTTATGCAATTTTTTATGCTTTCGATCGTCGCATACGTTGTTGACGAGAATGAAGATACGTGCGGCTCGCGCGAACGAAAATCGCGTACGTCAGCTAAGGGTAATCGGAGTAGCTTGCGACACTTCAGCATCTAATTCGTATGAGAGGCACACATCGATCGTGGAGGAGAATGCAATTTTAATGTCGTCGAACGCCATTTCTCTCATGCTCGGTATACGAGTTTCATACACACACTCCAGTCTCTATAGAAATACAACTGGTAATATAATGACACGCGATTTGCATACGCACGCATTTCTGCGGGTGTATAATGCCTGTCCTCGCGAATCAGACGATGATAGTTGCAGGGCACACGATAAATTTATCCTACTTGTATAGATAGACAAATACGACTTTATCATATTTATATAAATCGCTATCTATCGTCTCCGCTGTCGCTTCGACTGCGATTCCGGTAGCTTGCAATTTTATGCAAAAGAGAAAAGTGCAATTGTTGAATTATCGGAAAATGATACGTATTATTTCGCTCGCAAGGTGTGGCATTTATAATTTTCCACGGCATGTCGAACACGAAGACCCCACGTTATTTGCGATAAAAGGTCAACTCGAATTAGAACAATTGCAGGACTTGGATGAAATTTTTAATTGCCTTAGTATCCTTGAGAATCGCGACAAAAATTTTTGACGTTACGATGAAGTGACGTTTGTGCAGCGTTTTCTCTTTCTCAAAAAAATTTATATACCTTTTGTTTTCCAACTCTTATCTGTACATCGTGGTATCGCGCAGCACCGTCAGCAGTTGCGATCGATGTTGTTACCAGTCGCGGTGTGACTGATAAAAAAAATTATCATAACAGTAGTGTTCGAAGACACGACGCAGATCCGCAGGTAATTATCCCACGCAGCTCGCCGAGACCGCTCGGTCTGGGAAATTATATCGCAATGAGGGACTCGCTGCTCTCCCGATGGTACTAATTAATTAGCGACTGCTAAATAATTCACTTTCATCACGATAACGAGCGGGAAATGGGAGTAATAATGTTGGATGAGTATGCGCGACCCAAAGAACAACGGGCGACATTCCCTGATATTGCGTCGCGTGAACTTTCTATTATAAAAAAAAAGAGCGGCTGATGGCGGCTTTTCGATACACTGCGTTTTATGCATCATGTATACGAGGTACTGAAAAAATATAGAGAAAATATCGAAGTATAAAATTTTAAAAGCGTCACATTTTTTTATTTTTATTTCCGAATTAAAATGCTGATGAAAAACCGTTGCATACGTTGCGATGTAAAAATCGATTGCATATCACGGATATTTTATAATTTGCAAAAACGATAAGGCAATGCTTAAAATGTTTCTAATATATTCTTATAAAGAAGTAATAAAGGTAAGTAACTATAATTAAGTACTAATTAAAAAGGAAGTACTTAAAAATAATAGGAAGTGCTAAATATTGTAATACTTCTGACTATCAATCATCAACGTGGCACGGATGAAAAACGCGATATGAAAACTAATACCGTTACAATATGATACCGTTGTGAGGTACAAATGAAATATTCGATAGAACGAAATGAATATTTTTGAGCGATTTTATTCGAAAAAGCCACAAAATGTAGAATAAATATGTTCAGAATTTTTAAAGTTACATACTTGAAATTTGTTTTATTTTGTAACGAATAGAAGGAGAAAATCACGATAATATCGTACATAATTAAATATAAGTAATGTTATAATATTTGAATGTATAATGTGTATTTTTCGTTTCTATTTTTTAATCTCTATTTTTTACATCTCTACTTTTCTTACCATCGTAGAAAGAAAGTTTTACATTTCCAAGGAGAAGATGATAGAATTCTCTTTGTAGTATGTCTTTGTAGAAACACTTTGTAGTTAACAATATAATGGAAGCCTCATAGCATTCGCGGTTTATGAACGTGATAAGTGACCACGACTTAACTTTCAATCGTCATTGTAATAGTCGACCGGCGGTACTATATTAGCAAAATTGCACGCGCTACATTATTGATAAATCAATATAGCGGCACGTTAATATTGTTAAGATGGATTACTTTGTAACTATATTGTAAAAGTCTACTGCCAAAATGATGAATTGCATATTTGCAGTCAAAACATTAAACCGAATATCAATCAAATCATGATATTTCTATTGTTTCAATACGAGATTCCACATAATAGAATATATTTCCACATAATAGAATTTTATAAAATGCAAATGTCATTAAAAAAAAATTTTAAGCATAATTTAGTTTCTTGATATTTACATCAATTTTTCAATATTTTGAATCAAAGATAGAATTCTTAAAATGTTGATTTTAACTTACAAATTAAATCGAATTTATCATCAAAGGAAGCACGATCGTTCTTCGCTACTTATTTGAATTTATTCCTAAAAGAGAAAAATTCAATTATTTAATTATCTGAATATTCGATAATCGTAATAACGGTTCAAAAATAGCAATAATAACGAAATAATAAATTTCATGTTTTATTTATTGTCGTAATTTTTCATTATCGTGAAGTTATTATTATTATTAACAATCAATTTTACGATTTTTTTAAATATAGTTCAGACTGCTAAGTTAACAGAGAGACGAATATTTTAAAAATAATGTATATATATGCGTGCAATTATTTGTAATAAAATAAAATCTCATTACAATGCTTTTCACCGCGTAATCAGATTTGAGTTCCAGCGACTCTACTTCAATGGAGAGTCATTGTAACCATAGTCCGCCGATATTACATTGACGCAATGCGACGCTAGGTAATGTTATTAAGGAAGTCTTCCTGCGCACAATAGACAACTATGAAAGCTAAGCTTGTTGTCCGCCATAAAAAGATCTAACAATAAGTCCTGCAATAGTTCAGACTGTGCAATTTTTTTTAAATTCGAAAAATCAAATGTATATATATGTGAACGCACTAGATTACGAATTATATTTGCATTTTAGGGATTATTTTCAAAAAACTATTTTCTAAAAAAGATGAATTTACTTATTATAAATATAAATATCACTTAATAAGCTCTTCTAAGTGATATTTATATTTATAATAAGTAAATTCATCTTTTTTAGAAAATAGTTTTTTGAAAGTAATCCCTAAAATGCAAATATAATTCGGAACGTAATCTAGTATGTCCACACATATATACATTTGATTTTTCGAATTTAAAAAAAATTTGCACAGTCTGAACTATTGCAGACTGTACAATTTTTTTTTTAATTCCGAATTATATTTGCATTTTAGGGATTACTTCCAAAAAACTATTTTCTAAAAAAGATAAATTTACTTATTATAAATATAAATATCATTTAATATAAATATTAAAATATAAAAATAAAATCTGCCGTGATAATCAACGATGCGTGCAATATATAACTCGATAAGTTTTAAGTTTCATTTTATAAAGCCATATCGAGAGAGGCGATCTCCCATTACGTTACATTGTTATACATAATGCGTATACACGAAATTAATATCGAGTGCAATAAAATTTGCAATGTTTATTATTAGAGAACGAAAGCCCCGACATTTTATTATCAGATCTTATTTCGTCTACTCGAGCTCTTCTTCCTTGAAGTTCCTAATTGGCAATATTTAACGTTAGGTATTTTTTCAAATTTTAAAAGTTTACAAAATTTAATTTGTTAACGTAGACAATATAGTTAGCTTGATAACATCAGATAATATATTTACCTTAATTTCTGTTTGACATATGTGCAGTTAGCGTTTTAAGCGTTAAAATGTCTCGCGGGATCAATCCAATCCTTTAACAGAGAAAATTAACTAAGTCAACCACATGGGAGAACCGGAAGGGTTAAACTCACGTCAGTATTAATGTAATACACGCCGCAATCTAAAATTACGAAACTTGTAATCACATAACGCATACAGGCAGTGCGTGTCGTATATCTTCTTTCTCCAATTTAAAGCTCACATCATATAATAATGTAATAAATAAATAGTTGAAGGAGAAAAAAGAATCAATTATAATATTGCACAGTAACAAAAATTAAGTTAAAATTTCTATTTTTATACTATTATTATTATTATAATGTACCAATAATAACCGTGTGCGTAGTAAATATAATTGCCGCTAAAAATAATATAATTGCAGTAAATATAATTGCCGCAAAAATAATATTTATGATAATTACAACTTTATTTTCTCGGTATTTTTTTTAGTTTTCAGTTTTCAGTGTAAAAAAAATATTTCACATAAAATACATATTCATAAAATATAATTGAAATTCGCATTCGATTGTATTTAAAATTTTATTATT